GTCTTGCTATGTTGCCCAGGACAGTCTCAAACTCCTGACCTCAGGCAGTCCTCTTGCTGCAGCCTCCTGAGGTTCTGGGGTTGCAGGCATAATCCACTGTGCCTGGTCCTATGTCCTATTTTTAGCATTTCATTTTGTCAGGGTCTCTCCAAAAACAGGGAGCGAGAGAGAGACCCCACCTATGTTGTTTTCATTGCTCATTTTCCTCTAGAAGTCCTCCAGAATTGGCCAAGCATGGTTTCCTTCATAGAGTGGGACCATTTACTCCAAATGGAAAGACCATTGTGTTCTGTCTGAGACAAGTTGCAGAGACATAGCCAAGAAAGGCTTCTCGTCCAACAGATGGCAGGATTCATTTCTAGTTGAGTTCTTACAGTAATTAAGAATTAATCAATCTAGTTCTTATATTAATTAAATATGAGCTACACAGGGCTCTTTGAATGTAAGACTTGCGAGGAAATCGCTCTTTGTTTAAACAACCTACAAAGACTACCAAGCTAATGTGTAATATCAGTTACTATTATTGGTACATAATATATTATATCTTTATCTCCCACATCAGTTTTACAAGGATGGTTTTGGGGGTCTTATTTTACAGAGGAAAACACTGAGGATCAGAAGACTCAACTAAATTGTCCAGTCAATAGTTCATTAGTGAAAAAACAATGATTTGAATTCCATTTTTGTCTGGCTCCCAAATCTCTGTTCTGTTCTATCCAGAGATAAGGAAGGACTTGCTGCTGGTGATAGAGCACTGGGTCGAGTTTTGAGCCCACCCTCTGGGCCTCAGAATCCCTGCAGCTCAGTCACGATGGAAAACTGGGTCACTTATTTAACCTTTCAAGGTCTTGGTTTGGCCAGGTGAAAAATGGAGGTAGCAGTCCCAACTCACTCAGGTTATTGCAAGGCTCAGATGCAATGGCATATTAATGCCCTTCTGTCTCACAACTATTACTTATTTTTTTGTGTGTCCACAGACACACTGTGGCTCATTTTGAAGTAAAAAGCCCAACCCACCATCATTAGGGAGGTACTTTGAAATGGACGTTCGCTGCTTTTCCATTAGGACCAAAAAACTCATCTTCCCTGGGAGTTTTTGTGTTCCTGGCCAAAGACATAACCCCAGAGTCAATTAAACGTGACTGTCTCTCATGTTAAATGGCAACCCCTACCAGTTCCGGAATTCTGGCTTTTCAGTAGAATTAATTATTGCATCTTTCACTGTTGTTGAGAAAAGTTTCTTTCACAAACTCTGCATTTGTTGGGTCAAGACTATGCATCGCATTGCTGATGGAAGGCCCACTGGTCGGATTCAGAGATGTCAGTGTCTTCTTTTCTCCTGATTATCTGAAAGGAAGGTCTGGGTCAGGACTCAGTTCCTTGGATTAGTCCTTTCAAACAGGGAGGAAAGTATAAGGTCCTAGAAAGGAATAGTCTTTTGCTATAAATCCCAACTTGAGAAATATGAGATTCATAGTTCACCACACAGACCAGTCTGTAGAGGAGGTGTCATTGAGAGGGTTGTCAGATAAAATGCAGATCTAACCTTGACTGAGACATACTGAGAGTAAAACATTATTCCAATTTAACTGTATTTCCTGTATTTTTATTTGCGGAATCTGGCAACCTTAGCCACTTAAGCACCTCTGTCCTATGCAACAAGTCAGAAAAGTCAAGTTCTGGGGCGTCTCCCAAGGGGTGGAGCTGGAATCAGACAACCTCGGTTCAAACTTGACTTTGCCACCAGCTGTGCACTTGGGCAAGTTGAGGATTTCTGCTAAACCTCTATTTCCTTGTCGCCTCAATGGGTGTTAGAAGAGAATTTGCTTCCTGGGATGATCTTGGGGACTCCAGGTAGTCGTCAAATACATGTTGAGCACTTAGATGCCTCTGCACTATCTCAGCTCTGGCAGACGTGATCTCTGCCACCATACTGAATGGTGATGGGTCTAATAAGCAAAAAAGAAATGTAAGGTGGTAACAAATGCAAGAAGGCATGCAGCGGGGTGAAGGGTGGGGGTATATTATTTCTCTGAAGGTTTATTTTTCTGGTGAGGTGACAGTAGAGACACAAATGTCATGGGGTACCAGGTGCATGGCCGTCTGAGAGAAGTACATTCCAGGTAAAGGAAGCAACCAAAGCTCAGGCCCTGACTGGCAGTGAAGCCTGCATGATGTGCTTAGAAGCAGCAGGAACCCACTGAAATCGCAGAAGAGTAAGAAGACTATAGTCCAGTCTGGGCCGCTTGGCGAGACCCAGTCTCTACAATAAGTCAAAAAATAAGCTGGGCGTGGTGGTGTGCCTGTAGTTCTAGCTACTGGGAATGCTGAGGCAGAAGGATCACCTGAGCCCAGTGGGTTGAGACTGTGGTGGCCGTGAGCGTGCCACTGCACTCCAATCTGAGCGACAGAGTGAGACTCCTACTCAAACAAAAAGAAGACAGGGGTGATGGATGACTGAAGTCACTGTGAAAGGTGAGGCGAACATACAGGGCGCACAAGCCTTGGAATTTTACCCCAAGTGAGAAGAAAAGCCATCAGAGTTTTGAGCAAAGGAGTAAAGAAGGACCTCTCTGCTGCTTGGGGAAAAGAAAGGTTAACTTCATCTAGGAAGTGAAGAGAGTCTGTTATAAGAGAGGACGGTGATTAAAAGTGGAGGTGGGGAAAGTGATAGGGCGCCCAGAGAACAGGTGTTGATAGAGAGGACTGATGATTCCCTTGGTAAGGATAGCATTATCCAGCCCTTCTTCTTGGTGAACTTGATGGCTTGAGGAAGACACACTTGACTTTGAAATTGTGTTCAACTTCTGAGATGCATGAGAATTTGCAGATAATTCTTTGTGGTCCCTACATGGCTTCAAAACAGTAAATGAATGTACAGCCTAGAATGGCTGTCATGTGGCAAGTCTTTTTAATGCTTCTGTTTAGCATACCCATGTGACCATTACACAGATCAGAAGATAGAACATTGCCAGCAACCTGGAAGTGCCCCTTGTGCTTCCTTCCTGTCACTGTCTATTGACCAAGGCTAATAAATCTCCAGACTTTTAAAACCATAAATTAGGTTTTGCCTGTCTTTAAACGTCATATAAATGCAGTTATATAAAGTACACTCTCTTGGTTCTGGCTTATTTTGTTCAGTGTTGTGATTGTGAGATTTAAACATATTGTTCTCTTCATTGTTGCATCGTAATCCACTGTATGACTATGCCACAATGTATTTAACTACTCTGTTGCAAATGAGCGGTAGAGTGGTTACTTGCTTTTGGCTTATAGTGTCACTATTAATATTATAATATATATATTTGGGTTAAAAAAGTATACACTTTTCTTTGCTGTATCTACTTAGTAGTAGAATTTCTGGGTCATAGGAATATATCTGTTCAGAGTCAGTAGATACTGCCAGACAGATTTCCAAAATGGTTGGACCAGTTGATACTCTGACCAGCAGTATATGAAAATTTTGGTTGCACTGTATCCTTGTCAACACCTGATATTGCCTGTTAAGTATTCCTTTATCCTTTAAATGGGTTTAACCATTGTAGTTACTGCTTCCACGGGTTAAGCTTCATGCTGTATGCAGAATTTCTTTCTTTCTTTCTTTTTTGTTGGTATCACTTAAAGATATAACACCCTACATATTATTTCTTCTACCTTCAGATAGGAGAGTCATTTGTCGTTTGAAATTTAGTTCTCCAGACATTTAGATAATGCTGGGCATTTTGAATTTGAAGATATGCTGAGCTCTCTGTGTCTGCCATCCAGAGATGCACAGTATGAATTTCTGGACCAGGTGGACAAATGCCACTGACATAGCAATCAGGAGTAGGGAACCTCACACAAGGTTGGAGATTTCTTCCAACTTCCTAGTCTAACTGTCATCCTCAGGTGAGATCCTTCCTTTCTTCTTTTTAAGAAAATTCTTCATTTGAAACATTTCTTCACACAGAAATTGCCTTTTCTTGCCCTTCTTCTTGATGAACTTGATGGCTTAAGGAAGATACATTTGACCTTGAAATTGTGTTCAACTGCTGAGATGCATGAGAATTTTCAGATATTTATGGTCACTAAATGGCTTTACAACGGTAAATAAGTGAGCAGTCTAGGATGCCTGTCATGTGACAGGTCATTTCTTTTTTATATTTTATATATTTTTTATTTTTATATTTTATTGTATTTTATTATAGCAATATAAGGTACAAGTAAGGTTTAACTTCACTAGAAGGCTGCATGCAGGTGAAGTTTGAGCCTCCAACTAGTCTTCCCTCCCCCTTTGTGTTGTTACATGCCCAACCCTTCTTCCCCTGGCAGTGCCCAGTGACTGCCAATCCCTCCTTTGTGCTAACATGATCAGTGTTCAGGGCCCACTTATGAGTGAGAACATGTGGTAATCAGTTCTTCATTTCTGTGACAGATCACTTAGTATGATGGTCTCCAATTCCATCCAGTTTGCTGCAAAGTCCATGATTTTGTTCTTTATGGCTGCATAAAACTCCATCGTGAATATGTACCCCATTTTCTTTATCTGGTTCACTTTTGATGGGCAGCGGGGTTGGTTCCATGTTTTTGTTATTGTGAATAGTGCAGCTATAAACATGCGTGTGCAGGTGTCTTTTTTGTACAATGATTTATATTCCTCCAGACATATTTCCAGGAAAGGTATTGCTGGATCATATGGAAGGTCAATTTTTAGTTCTTTTAGGAATTGCCACACTGCTTTCCTTAAAGGTTAAAGTAGTCTGCATTCCCACCAATAGTATAGAAGCGTTCCTGTTTCTCCACATCCTCTCTGGCATCTATTTTTTTTATTTATTTATTGATGAAAGTCATCCTTCCTGAAGTTAGGTGGTAGCTCATTATGGTTTCGATTTACATTTCTCTGATGATTAGTAAGTCATTTCTGATACGTCTCCAGAGTGTGTGTGTCAGCCGTTCTGCAGCCATGATGCTGTGTACTCTCGCACATTTTCCCCACAAATGTCAACATTGCTCCTTTCCAGAAATTTGGAACTATCCGGGCAGACTTGATTGAACAGATGAGATTCAAACAGAGGCTGAAAGTGATCCAGACGCTGGAGGATACCACGAAGCGCAACGTGGTGAGTCCTTTGCGAAGCTGCAGGCTGCCTGTGGCTCATCTCTCACTCACACTCCTGCCGGCTGTGCCTTCCTGCTGGACAGCAGCGAGGATGATTCAAAAAAAGAAAATCAGAGACTTTCCCCGCATGACCCCTCTTTGGAGTCTGTGGAATTCATTGTGCTTACTGTTTTTATAGGTGCGAACCATTGTGACAGAAACTTCCTTTACCATGGATGAGCTGGAGGAACTTTATGCGCTTTTCAAGGTGCGTTTCAAGTAAACCCGTGCCCATTCCAAGGAGTAAAAGAGTTCACTGTAATCATTTAGTTAATTGTTGATTTTTCTGTTAAATTGCTAAGGGATCACATGAGTCTCCCCATGTGTAATTCAGAGTATAGGGCTGAGAATACAAAGTGGAGTACTTAATATGAAAAATAAACATTCTTACAATGAATCTAAGTTGATGTCCAGCTCCCTTGCGCTCCATATAATATCCTAGCTGTTTCTGAACCTAAGAAAATAGGTTACTGCTTCATAATATTCGTTAGAACAATGGCAATCAAGTTTAAATTCTGCCTGAAATTCTTGTAAATTGTAATTTCCTATACAGCATTAAGCTGTAAAACACCCCTAAGAAGAGATCATGTGTAGCTAGAATAAGAATAATACCATTTCGGGGTCTAAGAATAAGCGTAATTGGTTAAATAGCTGTGAATTCCATTTCCTAATTCACACCTTGATCCTTAATAAGAAACTATGATATTAGTAATGTCTAATGTTTCTTCTAGAGAAAAACATTTTGTCACAGCTATCATGATCAACATCATGGGTTAAAATGTGATAATTGTCATGAAAAAATGGTTAAAAGACACATTTTATGCAGGTGCCGATTTCAGCACAATCTCTAATTTATTATCAGAATTAAATTTGGCTGTTTCGAGCACTGCAAAGATAGTCCAAGAGGAATTAAGAAGAAACAAGCATAAGAATTAGTCGAACACTAATAGTTCTTTTTTTTTTTTTTTGAATTGGAGTCTCACTCTGTTGCCCAGGCTGGAGTGCAGTTGCACACTCCCGGCCACCACAGCCTCAACCTGCTGGGCTCCGGTGATCCTTCCACCTCAGCCTTCCAAGTAGCCACAACTACAGGCGCGCACTACCACGCCCGGCTAATTTTTTTGATTTTATTGTAGAGATGAGGTCTCGCCAAGTTGCCCAGGCGGGTCTCAAACCTGTGGGCTCAGGCAATTCACTCACCTCGGCCTCCCAAAGCATGGGATTACAGGCTGAGCCACTGAGCCCTGCACTAATAGTTCTTACAACCAAAGAAGGTGACAATTTAGGAGTGATCTTGCTAAAATGCCTGCTTGCCTGTTGGCCACTAGAGGACACCACCACCATTTTATTTATCTTTATTTCACTAGTGCCTGGTAACATACAGTCTCTCCTTTACAGGTGTTCCAAACATGTATGCTGAATTCGTAGATAAATTAGTGATTAATTCTCAGTGTACCACAGACCCTGTGTTCTTTTTTTTTTTTTTTTGAGTTGGAGTCTCACTCTGTTG